CTCCAGTGAGCAGAGCCAAGCCCTGGGAGGCAGACACTTAGGCCTGGGGACTCCAGCCGTCTCGGGAGCTGCTCTGCATCCTGCTGCTCCTGGGAAACAAACCCAGTCTGGAAAGTTTCTGACACTGGGACTATGTCCATGTGCACAGCCAGCTCTGTGTGGGTGGAGAGCCAGAGCCCAGGGCTGACCGCGGCACCTATTAGCTCTGGGTTCACGGGCAAGTTCAATCCTCTTTCCAGCCACTTGTTTCTGTGTCTGTTCAAAGGAGCTCCCTTTCGCTTCTAATTCCCTATAATCGAAGGAGACAAGCAATGGCTGGGAAATCCCAAACATCCAGGAATCAGATATTTCTATTTGACCCCATGTGCTGGGGTCAGAGAGCTCTGATTTCAAATTCTACCTCTCCTATTCATTAGCTATGTATCTTTGGGTAAATAACCTAACCTTTCTGATCCTCAATTTTCTCTCTTATAAACTGGGTATATAACCTTCCCTACTTTCTGGGGGTAATTGTGAGGCAGAAATGAGGTGATATACACAGAATTGCTTCACACACTGCCTGACACAGGGTAGCATCTGAAATGTTCTTCGAGAACAAGCTGTTGTTTGTGTTGTTATATGAATACAGGTGCAGCATTGCTCTCCAAACACACTTTGAGTGACAGGTGAAAGGCCCCGGTAGGAAAGTGGTCCATAGGGGGTTGGTAGGGTCTTGGGGAGAAAGAAGATGAAGGGAGGAAAAACCTAGGCTACTGCAGAGAGCGTGGGGCCTGGCTTTCTGTCTCCCTGTTTCATGCCATGTGACCTTGCTCAAGGGACTATATCACATTAGCCATCAGATTCTCTCTGTAAAACTGGGCTAGATAGTTTCTAGAGCCTCCCCCCAGGTTTGAGATTCTAGGTTTTTTTTTTTTTCTTCTAAATTATCTGCAAAGAAAATTTAACACATACAGATAATTAAGAAGCTAATGAAAAAATTCACAATATCACCAAAGGTGCAAGCTGGAAATGGCGCCCCTGCCCTGCCTTGGATTACCTTAATAAATAGGAGGGAGCAACGTGAACCGTGAACCTCTCCTTAGGAAGCTCTCACTGCCCAGCCTTCATTTCCTCTCTAAAGATGATTAATCTTCACCGAAGGGGCCATCTCCTCTGGGCTTCTTTTATTGGTCATCTCCATTATCAGTTGGTGTGTGAGCTGGCATAATCTGGGATTAGATTTATTTTCCTTCTCTTTTTTATTTTTCTTTTTTGTTCTTTTTTTTGGGGGGCGGGGCGGGTAGTACTGGGGATAGAAGGCAAGGGTGTTCTACCACTGAGCTACACTCCCCAGCCCTTTGTATTTCATTTTTGAGACAGAGTCTTGCTAAGTTGCTGAGGCTGGCCTCCGATTTGTGATCCTCCTGCCTCAGTCTTCTGAGTAGCTGGGATTACAGTTGTGTGTCACTGTACCCACTATGGATTTCCACTTTTGAGAACCCTTTGGTTTTTGCTTCTCTGTGATTTGTAGGTCTCTGGCCCCCGATTCCTTGAGTTCTTCGCTGTTATGGCAGTGTGGTAGAGAACACTTATCTATGGGTTCTGAACATCAGGTCTCATTCTTTCTTGGTCTCTAACTGCCTCTGTGATGTAATTTCTCCATGTTGGCTTCCTCAGCTGTAAAATGGGGTGTAAGCCAGGTCCACTTCACAGAGTGGTGTGAAGACCCAGCATTTGGTGAAGGAATCAAATGAGCAGACTTTCATTGCCTGTGTGTTCTGAGTCAGGCCCTGTGCTTAGCACTTTTCACACTGTCTCTTCTGACAACAGGTCACGAGATGAGGCCATCTCTATTTCCATTTTACAGTTGAGGAAGCTGACTTAGGTGGCCTTGCCCAAGGTCACAGTGCTGAGTCTTAGATTTTTGTGTGGGTCTTGAAGACAGTGCCTTGATCACTGTGCTATACTGTCACTCTAGAAAGTAAAAAGTGTCAAGAGGGAGGGGGTAGAAGACATGGGGGTAGGCAAGGGAGAAACCAAGGCTCAGAGAAGTCTAGGGATTGTTCATGATCACACAGCTAATTAGTGTAAGTGTTGGGGCTTCAGTGTCCAGAATCTCCACCACCATCATCATCATCATCTTCGACATCGTCATTATCTTTAGCCAAAATATTTAGTAACATTCATAAAGCATTTACTGAGATGAATACTTTCCTGCATATGGTACACGTAATAACCTGATGAGGTCGGTGTGATAATCACCCCTGGGGTTTTACAGATGAGGAACTTGAGGCTTAAAGACATGAAGCAAATAAACTCCTTGCAGATGGAGAGTGAATTCAAATTCAGGTCTGTGACTCTACAGCAGGGGCTTTTAATCTCCACCCAGACAGAATAAGGATATGCTCTTATTCTTTCAGGAATCTGTAATAAGGAGATAAATCTGTTGGGTCATAAAAGGAAACCAGTGTGAGTAGGAGTGGGAGGGTGCTGTGCAGATACCTGCTCTGACCTCAAAGAGCCAGTCCCCTTACATAACCAGGCGGTCCAGACTGTGACTTGGTTGGCTAACCATCTACCATTGAGGAAGAAGAGTGCAAAGGTAATGGGTAGTGCAGGTGCCAACATGTTTCTGATTTGGGAGGAGAGGAAGGGAAGCAGAAAGGCTCCTTCACAGTTTTTGTGAGACAGTCTTTCAGGGGGTAGAAAAACTTGGCTCTTTGGCCTGGACACCTGGTGAAAAGCAGCCACAGTTATTCCTAGTTCACAGCTGCCCTTCGTGTACTGGGTCTTCTTGATCATATCCAGACAAGTCTCCTTGCAAAAGAATAAATTTGGGGACATCTGCTCCATGACCTACAGAGCCTAGTGATTTTTGCCAGTCTTTGACTAAAAATTTAAATCTAATCTTCATAAATGTTTTTAGGAGTGAATAATGGTTCGAACTCACAAACAATATATCCTATTTGCTTTATTTATTTAAAAATTATTAAGTGTCTATTATTGAACCCCTGAGCTAGATGCTGAGGTGGCTCCAGGAAATGGAGAAGATTCTAGCCTGCAAAGAACTTACATTATAGTCATAGGAGGGACAAAGAATACAGATGGGTACAGTGGCAAGTGCCGTTGAGGGAGTAGTAAAATGTGTCTTGACATAACAGAAGAGACCCAAGGCGTCTAAACCCACACACGCCTGCACACATGGGAAAGGGAAGGCGACCTGTGGAGGGACTTCTAAGCACAGTCTTGAAGGAGAATAGGAGTTGGCAAGGGAAAGAAGCTGAAGCAGGTGCTTTAGGCAGAGGCCTCAGGACATCAACTGAAGCCTGTGAACCCAAGAGAAGCCATCTGTGTGGCAAACACTGAGCAATGGGCATAACTAGCGTGCGGTGGGCGAGAGAAGAGATGAAGCGGATCAGGATCACAAAGGGCCTCAAAGGCTTTGCAAGGAATTTGGGTTTAGAGCAGAAGCCGGTGGGCAGCCACCAGGAAGGCTTAAGCAAGGGACTGGGTGGCTAGATTTGTGTCTGAGAAATGCTGCTTTGTGGGATCGACTGGAGTGCGGCAAGAAGGCTTTGTAGGAATGTGTGCAAGCCATGACGGCCACTTGAACTGGAGAAGGGGCAGGTGGATGTGGAGAAATGGATGATTTTGAGAGCTCGGGGCAGCAGTATACTGCCGGGTTTCTGTTAGCGACTAAAAGGCTCAGGGGTCACTCCATTTGAACTGGGCTAACTGGGCTGCACGAAATAACCACACAAGAGACACAAATACCCTTTTCTTTGGGGTCGCTGTGACGGCTCCTCTGACCTTAAGGGTCTGCAGGAAGACAGAGAGCGAGAGCACCCGCTGACTCCTTTTATTGAGAAGCTATTCAAATGAGGCAAGGAGTCAGGTTTCAGGGGGCTGAGTCTATCTTCATGATGTCCACTGTCAACAGGTTGACTGACACCTGGGTAGGCCACACCCAAGGGCACAGTAAGAGAAGGGGACACACACAAGGCACTTCCATGGAAGATTCTATCCTAAACAGGACAAGGGGTTATATTACAAAGGAACAGGTGAGCGTAGCTCCACCCAAGGGCTGTAGCAAGACACACCCATGCACGAGACACCGACCCTCGACCCTCGAACCCAAGAAGGGTGGGGAATGCTCTGCCACATTTCTGCGACTGAGCGCCTCAGCACCCAGCCAAAGAGTGTGACTCAGTCAAGTGCAAGGTTGGTTTCCCATAGTATACATGGCAATTGGCTTCACTGGCTGCCTGTCTCTCTGCTCAGAGGGTTGATTTTTGGTCGCTCTGATTATTTTTTCACAGTCTAGATCATTCTGTTCACATGAGTACAATTGATTTATTTTTTATTTGTTTCCAAATGTTGAGAAAAATGTTAGTCATTCGAATATATCTGTGATCATTAATGTAATATTCACTCCTTGTAGAGATTTGAAAAATACAGCAATACTGAAAGAATAAAATAAAAATTATCTGTAAGTCAGTGATTCGGAGACAATTGCTATTAACACCAATTTTTGCTTTATGGTCTTTTTTTCTCGTATAATTGATCTATTTTAAGCTTTTATTGCAGAAAAATTTTAAATACATTAACAAATGGAGCAAATTGCGCAGTTAACCCAACATATCATTTCAGCTTCTAGAACCAGAAGTCTTCTACCATTCTGCAGTCAAATTTTAAACATATGACCAGGTTTTCACATTTTCTTGTAATCTAAAAATTTAGCTTGTTGAATAGTTTTGTTTTTTGTAATCCTAGATATTTGGCAAGTGTTAGCCCTGTTATTATCATTATTATTTTTTTTATCCATTTTCATATGTTGTGTATATACCCACAGCTTTGAATAGGACAGTAAAAAACACTGGAGCCCTGTGGTTTACCACTGAGACCTGACAATAAAACACTGAGTCTCTACCTCCTTGGGGAAGATCAATACAGAGGATAACTATTTCCGGGAGAGACATATCCCCAGCGGGAAGTAGCAGCTTGTATTTTGACTCACTCACCATGGTAGTCTCAGCAATGGATCCGAAGCTGTTGATGAAAATGTTGCAGCTCACGTTCACGGGAGGACCTGCCAATCAAGAGAGATTCCTGCTTAGCCTCGGGCCATGGAGAAATCCACAGTATAGGACCTATTTCAGAACACTGACTTCAGGGACGGGTCCCCTTGGTGGAAGACCTCCTTACTTGCCTGCCACCCCACCCCCAAGCATGGGAGGGGTGGGGGGAGCCTCCATTTAACATCTCTATGCCAGACTTCCTTGTCCCCAGGTGAGCAGCAGGTATAGAACACCAGAGGCTGAGCTGAGATGTGCTTTCATTAACACAGGATGATTCATCATGCTGCCATATGGTTGAAATCCCTTCTCCAAACCCCACTGGCTGCCTCCTAATTTATGTCTGAAATGTATTTATGGCTCCAACATTTGGAGGCCATCTTGGGAATCGCAAGGAACAGCAAGTTCCTTGCCTTGAACTTATGAACTAAGAGTGACTGCCTGAAAGGGCGATGATAGGAATCACCAGTGGAGAATCCAGAGGGAATCTCAAGGAATGTCCACATCTTTGTTAAACACTTTCAAGGCAAGTTGTCTTTTTAATTTAATTTAATTTAATTTTTTTTAATCTTACAGCCAAAGATAGGAAAGAAATGGAGGAATATTCACTGCATTGGTATCTCCTTGTTGGAGAGCATTCTGTCTAGCTGGAGCCCAATTTCTTTCTTTTATCATATTTATATAGCAGTTACCATTTACCAAGCAATATAGCATTTGCTGCTGTGCTAAGTTTTACTAAAGATCATCTCATTGCATTCTCCCAACAACTTCATGAGAAGGAATGAGTATGTTACTTCTCTTGCTGATGGGGAGACAGAGGCTCTGAGAGGTTAAATTATTTGTCCATGGCCACCACTGCTAATCAATGGTTGAGCCAGGGTTTGAGTTCAGATTTGTCTCCTGCCAAAGGTGGTCATCGTAATGTCTACACTCTAAGAGAGATTTCAGGGGAAGGAAGAGGCATGCTCGAGCTACAGACACTGGCAGAATCCAGAATTTTAATCACTGGGCTTCCACATTTGCTGACAAGAGCACCAGTGTAAAATAATAAAAGAGAAATGCAAGACCTTGGGTATGGGTGATAAAAACAGCAGGAGTCGGGCTGGAGTTTGTAGCTAGAGAGCTTGCCTAGCATGTGTGAGGCACTGTGTTCTTGATTCTCAGCACTGCATGTAAATAAGTAAAATAAAGGTACATCAACAACTAAAAAAAATTAAATAAAACAAAACAGCAAGAGTCTAGGTGAGAAAGGTTCTGAAGAGTGAGACAGGGAAGACTTTGTAACAGTGATGACCTTGAGCTGAACTTGAGGGTGGTTAGAGCTTCCATAATAGGTCATAATCCTTCACAGGATGATTGTAATTTGCAGTTTTTGAAAATTTTTTAAAGTCCAATTTCATATTGATCCCCATGAGGGACTGAGGTAGGCAGAAAAGAATCATTGTCCCCACTTCATTTATGAGCACAGAGTTTTAATAACGGCCTCAGTCTCATTTAGCTAAAAAGTAGTGGGGGTGAAACTTTGGACTTGAACCAAAGTTTGCTGATAGTGGAAAGAAGGAAGTAAATCTCTGTCTGTCCTCTGGTATCCAATCCATTCTGTTCTTCTTTAAAAGGTGCCCCAATTATTGTACCCAGACTTAGCCAAGATCTCCTTCTGTTCTGAGATCTTGGTGCATAGGAGGAGACTTAGGCTTGGGTTAGAATCCGGGTTCTTCCTCTGCAGGAGTGTCAGGGCCTATGGAATTTAGGCATAACTCCAAGCACTCATTGGCTGTTTGACCTCAGGAGTGCCCCTCCCATTTGACAGGCCTCAGTTTCCCTAGCCATCTGGAGAGAGAGTAGCTCTTGAACTAGGAAGCCATTCTCAGCCCCAGAGGGTTGGGATTATCTTAGGGAAGCTCTCCACTAAAAATTTCTCTGCTTCAAGATCCTTTTGAATTTCAGAGTTACAAAGTTTCAGGGCTGGAAGATTTCTTACAGGTTACCTCAACCTTTGCGTTTAAAACAAATGTGCAGACCAGACTCTAATGGGCAGTAGAATTACCCAGGAAACTTGTTAAATTGCAGAATTCCTGGCCCAACCCCACATTTGGTGATGCCAAATCTCTGGAGATGAGCCCTGAGGCTATTGTTCAATGAGTTTCCTGGGTGATGCTCATGTATAGCCAGGTTTGGGGACCAATGCAATACAGCAGCTCTCCTCTCAAGACTGATGCCTTGGAACCTCCAGCAGGGGGATGCTCAGTCTTGAGCCCTTTTCCTAGCTGGATAGCTCTCTGTGTTATTTTTCTCCCCCTTCGTTGAGTGGAAATGTGCCTCATTGTTACTTCCACTTAAACAAAAGCTTGTTTTTTTTTTCTCCTTTGTTTAGCCTCAGACTTAGGTTTTTCTTTTCATTTAGCCTCATACCATTAAGATGCCCCAAAGAGTTACTGCCCATGGCTAGAAATGACATGCAGGGTTCCCACCCAGGCCCTGCAATTGTCTGGTACTGTGAAGCCCATATAAATTAGATCCTGATTTATGTGTGCAAGAGGGCGCCTGCCAAAAGGACCCCATGGGGAGGTGCGGTTCATTGACATAAATCTGAAATTAAATTATCTCAAGAAAATTACAATCAGTCTGCCTTTGGCAGCAGGATAATGTATATATTTCATTAAATATTAAAGTTTAATTTTGCTTTTGTGTGAGTGTTTGCATGGGGCTGTGCCCCTAATCCTGGGAGCCATCGTAATCCACGAATTCTTAGAAAAAGAGGCAGAACATCAGAGCTGGAAAGGCCTAGTCCTACTGGCTAATTTTACAGATGCTGAAAAACAGAGGCCCAGATACAGTGAATGATTTATTCAGGGTCACACGCATCATGTACATGGGGGGGGGGAGGATTAGAGTCCAGTTCTAGTGCTTTATAGCTGCAGTATGATTTGCATTACCGTTGGGCTCTGTGGACCATGCCTGTGGTTCCTGGCCACCCCTAGCTTTAAGAGCTGGGAAATTTCTGATGCCTTAAGGAAGCTGCCAAGTGATTTATCATTCTGCAGAGTTAAAAAAAAAAAGAATGCTGGCTTCTCCCTGTGTGTTGAGATGTTGGGGGCCTGACCTATGGCCTTTTCAGGAGCCCTGTGGTGTGTCTAACGCTTTGGGGAAACTTTTTTGTGCCTAAGTGGAAATGCAAAGGGGATTGTGGGGCTCAGTGGTGGGATATCGCTTCTTACCAGCTTTTTAACTCTCACCACAGGGAAAGTAGCAAACCCGTCCTTCAGTTCCTGAGGTGAGGCTCCAGGAAGCTGAACCTCACCTTGAGCGAGGAGGAGGGCCAGGGGGTTAGAGCCCATGTAGGGTTGAGAGAGGCCAAGGAGATTTATCTAGGTCTGTTGATTTTGGGTTCAAGTATTGTGAGTAAGATTCGCAGAGTGGGCAGGGGAGGGGCCCTGATTCAGTGGTCTGGATAAAATAAAATGTTATTTCTTTTTTTTTTTTCCTGTGGTGCTGGGGATTGGACCCAGGGCAAGTGCTCTACCAACTGAGCTATATCCCCAGCCATAAAATTTTTATTTCTTAAAAGTATTCCTGCTAAGTAAGTAAGTAAATAAATGAGTAAACAAGTGTTAGATAAAGAAGGGAATCATAGTAGCTGGATTAAGATCCTGGTCTTGACAGCATGGTTTGGGAAAGTCATTTAACAGCTCTAAGCCTTCACCTCGCCTATGTGCTGACTCATTGGGTCACTCACTCCTTTATGGAAAGTTTATTGAGGGCCTTTCCTGTGCCCGGATAAGTGACCCACCCTGGGCACACCCTCGTGGAACAAATGAAGGAATCTTTGTCAGGAGAGCAAGACCATGACGCCAGAGGATGAAGTTCTAAGAGAGTCCACCAGGGGGCGTGGTGGACTGGAATTCCTAAGAAACCGCTGGTGGTAAAGGATGGTACCTGGTGGGGAGGCTTATAACCCATTCTCCTTGGGTTCGGTTTAGTCAATGATATTTTTAAAGGTGGTGATTTAATTGTCAACTTAGAGAATATTGGATAAAACCCTAGATTTAAGTCTTATGTCAAGGCATGGCATCCCAGGGCCCACATTCCTTCCTGCCAGGAGCCACAGGCAGGAGTTAAAGAGAGGCCACCCTTCGATAAGCTTATGTCTTCTGATTTTTTTTTCTCCTCATACTGTTTCATTCATGAGAAATTCTTGCCTGGCCCATCAGGGTATTTGAGATTGTGTCCCTGGTGAAGGAACTGGGTCAACGGACTGGGTCAACTGTGCTATGCCGGCAACCTCAGGCCTGACTCACCCATCTTGTTAATGATGATGGAAAATATGGCCTCAGAGGCAAGGAGCAGGGGCAGGGGTAGTGTAGGAGTGTTAAGGTGAACAGAGTTGGGGTGGGGCAAGCACAAACCTGAGTGCATCTCATGGACTGTTTTCTATTTGCAGAGACTTGTGGATAGAGCCCTCTGAGAAGGGGACTCAGAGAACAGGGGGAACCTGAGCAAATATCAGAAAACCATTACAGCTGTCACATCCCTTGTTTGCTCTTGGATTGGAGCCCAGAGGAGCTGAGGAAGGGCATCCGGAATCAGGAGTTGGTTTGGAGGTTGACCTGCAGGTCCCTGGAGTAAGATTTTTGCAGGGTTGCTAGGAGGAAGGTCATTAAGACCCCCAGACTTGAAGGAGACAGTTTAAGGTGATTACACCTTCAAGGCCTCAGTAGACATAGAGAACTGTTCTCTTGTTATAGACATTGAGATCTCAAGGCCTATGAGAGCTCAGAGAACCTTCTCAGATCGCCTGGTCTAGAGTTTGCAATTTGACAAACCACAGGTGTATCTAGGTCGCAAACATGCTTCATTTGAATTGACATGTTTTAGATGTTAGGAAGTCTCACGTAGATCTTGATTTCTGGCTCTTCTCAGACTACTGGGTTCTTTAGTAACACGGGGCCAACATTCCTACAGGACCTGCAGTCTGGGACTTAGGGGAGGCCTCTCCATTCAGAGAAGACTGCACCTCATTTTGTCTATGGTCTGCACACCCCCTATTTTTTCCTTGGGAACCTTTCAGCAGATGAATTTGAGTTGGAAGACCTTTATCCAAAACAAACGGAAGTGGAACTGCTTGGGAAAAGGTGAGGTGGAATTGATGATTATGCCCTCTGCTTCTCCATTTTGGGGCACCTGATGATAACCCCAAAGCTCCACAAAGCATATGTTTTAAAAGCTGCAGGTGTTGCCAACCACATCTCCCAGAGAGAGGGAGTGGCTTATTCAAGAATAAATTTGTAGCTGGATGCAAGGGTACATATTTGTAATCCCAGCAGCTCTGGAGGTTGAGGCAGGAGGATCGCTAGTTCAAAGCCAGTCTCAGCAAAAGCGAGGTGCTAAGCAACTCAGTGAGACCCTGTCTCTAAATAAAATACAAAATAGGGCTGGGGATGTCGCTCAGTGGTTGAGTGCCCCTGAGTTCAATCCCTGGTACTCCCTCCGCCCCCAAAGAGTAAATTTGTGCCTAAGCCTAAACTAGAACATATTTTTCCACATTCTGTGTTTATCCTCTGTCTACACCAGAAGTAGCAAATAGATATTAATGTACTTATTGACTTCTAGTAGCCAGAAGTACGGTTGAGTCAGATTCTCTGAGGCTTTGTCTGGGCTTGGTGGGAGAGGAGACTGAATTGATTAGCAATGTCTGTCCTGGGTACAGAAAGAGTCATGGGATTTTACTATCTGCATAAATACCATGTTGTAATTTGGGAAAGCATTTTCTTATGGATCTGAAAGGAATTTTTTTTCTCTACCTTTAAAATTGGGCCTGATCCTGGCATCATATCCAGAAGTCCTGCCCATCAGCTTATCCAGGAAATCCGAGGGTGACATTGGCTTGGGCGCAGAGCGGGCAGCTTCAGCCTCCTTAGAAGCAGCAAGGCTAAGAAGAGCAAGAGAAAAGCAAAGGTTAACGGTGACCCTTTCTCATGTGGTGATCAGATCCCAGCTTTGTCCAGCCTGTGGAACCTCTGGAGTGTTCTAGCCCCAGGAACAGTCATATGGTCTCTAATGAAGGACGGCCCAGGCTAAATTGTTTACCCAACCCAAATATATAAACCACTGTGGCATTCTGGCAGGGAGCCAAGTGTCTGACTGATGCTGAGAAACTACTGACTTCTGTAAGGTGTCATCTCTGGGATTTGGAGGAAATCACACTTGGCTACTGTGTTTCCCTAGGGGGTAAGATTGAAGGGTTAACCCTTTGACACCCTCTGCCTGGGTATCTGCCCTCTCATAGGTCCATGGAGCAGATAACTGAACGAACCTTGGACAGGGAATTATCCAGGCTCTCTCCCCAAGGTGTCTTTTTAGAATCAGTCACTGAGTTAAAAAAAGAAAAAAAAAAAGTTTCCAATGTCAAATGCATTTGGTAATACAAATCGAACCAGGCATCCTCACCTCAGGTCTACACAGAGCTTTTAACAAATTTATATGTGGGTGCTTCTGGGGCTACTATCTCATGCAACATGCATTTTAAAAAGTGCTTAATTGGAAAAGTTGAGACCCAGCTCACAGGAGAAACTAACATAGATTCCAGAGTCAATCCGTGGTCTTTGTCTCAAGAGTTGGGTACTTTGAACTCAAACTCCTGGGAATGCCTCACATGGTTTCTGTCCCCTACTCCCTCAGCAAAGCAGTTTCACATCCTCACAGTCTGAATCACTCATGTCTAGGAACAGTGACCTTTCACCTGACAACCTCTCAAAGGTGCACAGATTTCAATAAAGTCAAGATCGGAGGCTCCAGGTTGAAGAACAATCGTTGGGTTGCTTGGGCCACTGAACTTTCCTAATCCTGAAATGACCCCCAGGGCAGAGCCAGAGCCCGATGCAACCCAGAGCTCTGTGCTTGCGGGGCTGATGTGTTGGAGGGAGCGTGGGGAGAAAGGTGTGTCAGGGAGTTAAGTAGGACATGGCGGTCCCCAAGGATTCCTTTTCAACTTGTTCTTCACGCCAGCTCCCTTTCTGATCTCCTCAGTTGTAAGTGTTCAAGGGGTCTGCTTTAAAGGATGACTCACAAGTCTCTATTTCAACTCTGGGCTCTCCATTGAAGGCCTCTTTCCTCAGTTGCAAACACCTGCATGCCCTGTGCCTCAAGTCCACCTGTGACAGCCACAGTTTCCTTCCCAAACTTGCCCTTCCAGATCCCAGTTTCCCCAGAGGACACCAATGTATCCCTGTTCTCTAGGACTAGAAGACCCTCTCTTGTCCCCCTCTCCTGGCTCATCCCTCCTCTAGCAGGTCCTGTCAAGGCACAAGCCAGGTCACTTTGCAGCATCAGTATTTGTGCTTGTCTTACAAGAGTTGGAAATCGTGGTGGTTTTATTTATTATTTGTTCTCTTAACCCCCCACGGTGTCTACCGGGATGTCTCACACTTAATTGGTGCTCGGTAATTGCACGGTGAATGAATGAATGAATGAATACGATGCCACTTTAATCAAATATCCTGGCTAGTAGGAAGCGTTCATAAATATTTATATATGGATTAACGATTTAAAAATAATGACACTATTTTACACAGTCATGAAAATACTGACACCATCTGGTATTCTTTTGAGGATTCAGAAGGTATTCTAGGATTAGACAATCTGAAGATACCTTATGCATACCCTGAAGAGCTAGTTTTGATGGACAGGATGAGGGAAAGGTGCATTTTTCTATGTGTGTGACTATAGATGCAGGTGAATTTCTGAGATGTAGGTCTCTAGGTGACCTGGGTATGATGTGTGTCATGTGTACAAATGGATAGATGTGCAGTATGTGTGCTGGGGTTAGAGCATGCACAGGAGTGTTTGTGGCTGTGTGGTGGATTGTTACATAAATATGTGCAAAACTATGGATACCTGTGTTTGTGATAAGGGTGGCATTTCGTATGGGCATTTTTGTGTGTGTATGTGGGGTATACGGTATGAATATATAAAATGCCTTTGTAGATTTTGTATCTTCGGTGTGTTTGTTTTTGAATGTACTGTGAGATATAAGACAGCGCAGAAGAAGAAAACAGGTGATTTGAAATCAGTTCTACCTCAGTTATTAGTTAGGTGTGTTACCTGGGGAAAGCGAAGTAACCTCTCTGAACTTCAGTTTTCTCATCTATCACATTAGCTTCATACAAGGAGTATCTGAAATAGCACTGTAAATAATATCCAGGACAGTTCTTGGAACACAGGAGGCCCTCCATACAGTCTTCTTTATGCTGTGTGTGTGTGTGTGTGTATGTGTGTGTGTGTATGTGAGGGCTTCTCCTCTCACACTGCTCCCAGGTGCACCATGGACCTGCATGGCTAAGCCCTCTCTCAGGCCCAGTGCTATCAGCACCACAGTTTCAGCCTTTCCCTATTCAGCAGGAGACTCCTGGCTACTCTGCAGCTCTGGGGAGTAAAGGGGTCCAGGCATACAGTGGGTGATGTGAGACTCTTCTGCTTCTGATTCTCCCCTAGAACCTCTTTCAGAGTGGCAGTTTGATAATCAGATTCGGGGACATAGCACTCCTCCCAGCAGCTACTAGAGCACAAGCCATCTCTTGGCTCTGAGGCCTCTTTCATAAGCCTGAATCCTATTAGGCGGTACAGTGGGAGAGTGAATTCGTCCCCAATTATCCCAGACCATTTGCTATTAGCAAAACGTGCCATTTAATACTGGAATCCTCCACCACCGGCCGCCGAGTCCTCTAGTTATTCTAGCTCGCGCGTCTGCAGCAAGATATTTGCAGTCTAGTCACCTGGCCATTGGCTCACTGAAAATCCTGACGCTGAGGGGACTCTGAGAGGTTAGATAACTGGCTTGGGTCGCACAGCACTTTCTTTCTTGATTTATTTTGGTACCAGGGATTGAACCCAGAAGTGCTTAACCACTGAGCCACATTCCCAGACCTTTCTTATATTTTATTTAGAGACAGGATCTCACTGAGTTCTTTAGGGCCTCACTGAGTAGCTGAGGCTGGCTTTGAACTCGAGATCCTCCTGCCTCAGCCTCCCGAGCAGCTGGGATTACAGGTGTGCGCCACGGCGCCCGGCCATACAGCACTTTAATGAGAGAAGGGATAAGAACTCAGATTTTCAAGAGCTGACTTATAGAAATGCTACGACATAAGGAAAGGCCTTTTGTAAATGGTGAAGACTGTAAATCAGGATAGCTGCTATGATTGTTATTTGTTTTTTAATCTTTCTTTTTTTTCCATATGTTTATTGGTGCACTGTAGCTGTAAATAATGGTGGGATTTGTTGTGTTGTTCCGTATTCATATATGCCACAATAAGACAATATGATCTGGCCAATATCATTCCCCAGTATTTCCCCTTTCTCTTTCCTCCTCCTTCTTCCTGGACTCTTTCCTCAACTAATCTCCCTTCAATTTTCATGAGATTCCCCCCAAAACCTCTCTTTACCTTTTTCTTCTCTAGCTTCCCCATGAGAGAGAAGACATGAGACCCTCGACCTTCTGAGTTTGGCTTATTTCACTTAACGAAATGGTCTCAAGTTCCATACATTTTCCTGCAAATGACATAATTTCATTCTTGTTTTTTCATGATTGACTAAAACTCCACTGTGTATTTGTACCACCTTCTCTTTATCCATTCCTCCAAGGATCAGATGGGTGGTTCTGTGGTTTGGCTATTGAGAATTGTGCTGCTCTAAAGATGGGTGTGCGTGTTATCACTGTAGTATGGTGACTTTAATTCTTCAGGATAAATACCAAGGAATGGCAAAGTTGGGTCTTATGGTAGTTCTATGCCTGGCCTTTTGAGGAAATTTTATACTGATTTCCATAGTGGTTGTACTAATTTACAACTCCACCAAGAGTGTAGAAGTGTACCTTTTCCTCCACATTCTTTTTAAAATTTGTTTTAATTAGTTACACATGACAGTACAATGATCTTGACATAACATACATTTGAATCAGATGGGGTATAATTTCTCCTCCAGATTCTTTCCAGCATTTATTACTATGTTTTAAAATTTGTTCTTTTTAGTTATACATGACACTAGAATATATTTTGACATGTTATATATACATGGAGTGTAACTTCCCATTCTTGTGGTTGTACATGATGTGGAGTTACACTGGTCGTGTGTTCATATATGAACATAGAAAACTTAGGTCTGATTTAGCCTACTGTCTTTCCCATTTCCATCCCCTCTCCCTTTCCCCTATTAGGCCCTGTCCAATCCAGTGAAACCCTCCCCCCCGACCTCCAGCCTCTTGTGGGTCAGCATCTGCATATCAGAGAGAACATTAGGCCTTTGGTTTTTGGGGATTGGCTTATTTTACTTAGCCTAATAGTCTCCAGTTCAATCCATTTACCAGTAAGCACTATAATTTCATTCTTCATCACTGAGTAGTACTCCATTGAGTATGTGTACCACATTTTCTTTATCTATTCATCTATTGAAGGGTACCTAGGTTGGTTCCATAGCTTAGCTATTGTGAATTGAGCTGTTACAAACATTGATGTGGCCGTGTCACCACAGTATGCTGAGTTTAAGCCCTTTGGGTGTATATATTGAGAAGTGGAATAACTGGGTCAAGGGTGGTTCCATTCCAAGATTCTCCATCTTTCTTTCCAGAGTGGTTACACCAATTTGCAGTCCCACCAGAAATGTATTCCTACATCCTCACCAACATTTATTGTTATTTGTATTCTTGATAATTGCCATTCTGACTGGAGTGAGATGAAATCTCAGTGTAGTTTTAATTTGCATTTTCTAATTGCTAGAGATGTTGAACATTTTTTTATATATTTGTTGATGGATCATATTTCTTCTTCTGTGAAGTGTTCCAGCATCTATTATTGTTTGTGTTCTTGATGGCTGCCTTTCTAATTGGTGGGAGATGAAATCTCAGTGTAGTTTTGATTTGCATTTCCCTAACTGCTAAAG